AGCTTGCCACCTGGTGACATGCTTAGCAAATTATGTTATAAAATAGAATAGAAACGAAAATTCGAAACGCTTTTTCTCAAAAAACGACGCTTTAAATTGTTTAAAAAAGAAATTTTTTTAAAGAAACAATTTTTACATAAAATATAAAAAATACAAGTTGGTATCTTTTCGGCATCAAGATACTATGCAATTAGTGATAGTAAGCTGAAAAAAAGCCTTAACTAAAGCAGCATTTTGGCACTTTCGCAAGTCTCAAAGCCTCTGTTTCAACCAAAATTTTAACTGTATTTGTAGTGTATAGAATTCTTGTAAAACTTTTCAACTTTTCAACTCTGCTGCTCCCGTAACAGACAATTAGTTAAAATTTATTTACTTTTGAACAACTTCACAAAATTTTTTTTAGAAAAAATTACTCTTATAAAGAAAATTACTGTTATGACTATTTTTTCGGTTTGTATCCCTCTGCTTGCTTAATGAACCGTTCTAAGCCATATATATCATGTTCAGTATTGTTTTTTGACTACAAGTATTATTTTGCTAGTTCTCCTCGCAACGTTTTCTAGTATAATGCAATGAAATGTTTTACGCATTTGACTGGCAAATTTATGTGAAAACTTAATGCTGAAAGTGCTCCTTTCTTTTAATATTTTTATGACAGTGGTGAAATCATTGCAAGTATTGTTGTTCTTCTGTTTTTGCAACAGTGTGTTAATTTGAAACTTGAAGTCATGTTCGGAAGATGAGCAACGATGGCCGGTACGAAAGAGGAATTTCCAGTCTGAGTACTAACTCAAAATAACCTTTACAAGTAGGCTTCGAACAAAATTGAAGAAATACTAGTAATTTCATTACCTTCACGAAAATATTAAAGGAAAGGAGCACTTCCAACGTCAAGTTTTTGCGTAGATTTGCCAGTCAAATCCGAAAAAATTTCATTGCATTATACTAGAAAGCGTTGAGAGGAAAACTAGCAGAACAATACTAGCAGTCAAAAAAAAGTACTGAACGTGATATATATGGCTTAGAAGGTTCAATAAGCAAAAGAAGCCATACAAACAGAAAAAGTAATTATAATAGTAAATTTTTTCTTAAAAAAATTTTGTGAAATTGTTTGAAAGCAGATAAATTTTAACTAATTGTCTGTTACGGGAGCAGTACAGTTAAAAAGTTTTACAAGAATTATATATACTACAAATACAAATAAATTTTAGTTGAAACAGAGGTCCCGAGACTTGCGCAAGCGCCAAAATGCTGCTTCAATTAAGTGCTTTTTTCAGTCTACCACCACTAATCGCATCGTAACTCTTGATGCCGAAAAGATACCA